GATTTCGCCTTGTTTTACCGCCTGCTCTTTACATCTAGGTTTTGGGAAAGCGAGCTCTTTTGCTACGGGAGGGCGATTTCGTCCCGGGGGTGGGGAGGAGAGGCAGTCAATCCGGTCAAGGGTTTTTTTGGGGGGTCCCCTTTCGGGAAGACCGAGCGTCCCGTTCCGCAGTATCGCCCCTTACCTGACGAAGGCCTGTCCGAGTAGCGGGTGCAGTAGACCCAGGCTGGCCACAACATGGGCTGCCCGCTGGGGAAGGAGCTGGCCTGGGAGCTGTCCGAGTCCGAGCTCAAGGAATGATCGCCGCCGCCGCCGCCGCCGCCTCGAGATTTCAAGGCTCCGTCTTGCTCGCTCGAGTCTCCTCCTTTCTTGGCCGGGACCAGCGCTTTGGAGCCGCCGCCTCCTCCTCCTCCTTCGACCGGGGAACCGGAGGCCGGTGCGGCTGAGGGGCTCCTGGAGACGAGGAGCTGTTGTTGCTGCGGATGCTGCTGCTGCTGCTGCTCCGGGCTAACGCCGCTGCCGCCCCCGCCGCCGTGACCGTCGTCTTTCCTCCTCCCGAACTCCGGCCGCAGGATGTTGTCGATGAAAAAGTTGGTGATCCGGTGCGGCGGGTGCTGGTGCGGGTGGTTGCCGGGCGCTTGGAGCACCCGGGGAAGGAGCATCGCCCGCCGCCGGTTGGGCTCTCCGTCGCTGCCGCTGCTCGACTCCTCTGGCGGCTGCTCTCCGCCTTCGTCTTCCAGGCGCGGCTCATTCTCCTCCATGCTGCACGCACGGAATCCCCAAATGTTGCCCTCCCCCCCCTTTGTTTGTGCGCGCTTCGGGGCTGTTCGCTTTGGGTCGTCGTCGTCGTCTCTCTCTCCCCCCCCCCCGGTCCCCCCCGAGGATCTGGCCGCACCTCCGAGCCCACCGCCGAGCAATCCAAATCCAGAGTTTGCAAAAAAAACGAAGCAACTGCGATGGGCGCGATCTAGAGAAAGAGACCGACCCGCAAAATCGTGGGTTCTCCTTTTGCGTCTTCTCCCGTCTCGTGCCGTACTTGGGGGGGGTGTCTCTCCTCCTGCCCCCCTTTTCAGCCTTTCAGTCTCGCCGCCCCTTCCTGCGTTCTTTGCCCCGCAAGGGATTCATCGTTAGGACTTTCTGCAGCCACCCTAACCGCCCCCCCCCGCCCTCGTCCGGCTCCCGAGGACGGAGAAGAGGCCAGCGGTATCCTTGCAAAAATGGTGACGATCCGTCAAGGGGAAAAAAGTCAATGAAGCCACCTCGGCTTGGCTGTGGAAGGCGTCTTGCCTCCTCTCTCTCTCTCTCTCTCTATACCGCACACGGCAAGCTGGGGCTTGAGCCACACAGAGGCATCTGGACCATCACTGCCGATCTCAGGCTTTCCCTCCCCCTTGAGCCAAATACTGTATTCCAAGTTGCGTTGGAAAAAACGAGGGGGAAATCTCTTTCTCTCTCTGTCTCTCTCACTCACGACGTCTCTGCCTCCCTCCCTCCGTCCCTCCCTCTCCCCTCTGCTTCTCCCCAGGACTTGCTTTCCCTGGCTGTCGCTGTACTGGAGGTGTAAATTTAGAAGCCACTTAAACTGAACCTGAAATACTTTCACTCTGGATTTTTGTTCTTATTTTTAATAGAGCTCCTCAAGTGACGTTGCGAGGCCGGTATCCTAGACACGTGCCTTGGGCCAATGGCAGGAAAGCCTTTTCCACACGTGATACAGTAGCACTCGAGTAAATGACAGGAGGAGCCCCCTCCTCCCGTCTCTCTATGCCCCCTCCCCCGATTTTAAAGCTGCAGCGCCCTCTCTTCTCGAGAGCTTTTTATTTTTAAGAAGGAATGCAGAAATACCCCCGTTTCTCAACAATAAATTCATCAGCCCATGCCTTCCTTAATCTGTTTCCTTCCATATCCTTCTCCAAAGGAAGGCTCCAGGATGCCTTTTAAAAACCCATATTGTTTACAATTGGAATTGGGAGGGGGAAGGAGAGGAAGGCTGGAAACGGTGGGGGGGGGGAAGAAATCCCACAATTCCTTGCAAAAATAATATTAAATGAACCAGTGCGATACAAAGGGAGTTTTTCGCGATTAATTTGAAGGGGGGGGTCAAAAGGAAGAATAAAACCCAGTTAATTTTAGAGTAGCTTCTTTCTCGGTCTCTGTTGGTGTTTCTTCGCACCCCCCACCCCACCCCCGCTTTCTCTTTTGTAATCCTGAAGTCTAGCCTGCAGGAAAAGACGTTCGGTTATAAGGAATTCCTGTTTGTTTTTAAAATTACAAGCCTGTGTTGGGGCTGTTATTCCTTGTACTTGCAGTGCAATAAACATAAGACGGTATAATAATTGAATCATTCAGCTGGAAACTGAACAGGAGCCTTTGATTATTTATTCTAGCTTCGAAAACAATATTAAACAGAGAGGTTTGCCATTGACAGGCAGGAGGACGTGAAAACTCCTCCTTCCCCCGAGCACTTTTAATCAAAATAATCAGTTGATGAGAATTAAGAATATATATATATATATGTATTAAAGGAAAATAATACGTTGCTCGCCTATTTAAATATTTTTTTTATTTTTTAAAAAAAAATAAAATGTTTTATTTAAAACTTTCAAGGCTCTGAAAACGATGCTAACAGTAGTTACAAGAGGAACCCCTCAATGGACCCACCCAACTCTTTTCATGACAGTCTCCTAGGGCCTACCAAGAAGATTAAAAAAAAAAACACCAACAGCTCTCTACTAAACTCTCTCTCTCACACACACACATCCCCCAATGTTCCGCCTGCGGAACTCTTCTCTGCCATCCGCGGATCTTTGCTTGGCTGCTCTTGAATTTGTAAAAGTCACCCAAAGGTCGATGAAGTCCAGTACCCTTAATATGACTTTAAAAACGCAGGAGGAGGAGAAGGAAGAAGGGATCAATTTTGTCAGCCAACTATTGTGGTAGGAGAGAATGACGCTCCCGTTTCAATCCGTGCCAAAGACGAAACAGGAAGCTCCAAGCCCCAGGCGTAACGAGCGCCCAAGGAGCCGCCTCCGTCCCTTTCCAAGATTTCAAACACCGCCGTTCCCTACTTCGGGTCAGGCCACTCGATGCCATTCAGTCTTCTTGTTCCGGAGAGACCTTGGAACTGGAGGGAATCTGGAAGGCTGGGCGGAGAGGAGGAAGATGGGAAGTGGAGTAGAGTAGACAAGAGTGGAAACGACTAAAGTAAGACGGGCGAAATCGGAAGACCGTGAGGACTCAAGTCCAGCAGCCGGAGAAGACCCGACTCACCTCTTGCAGGGGCTCTCCGCGTGTTTCACTCTTGTTCTAGGTTTCGCACTTCTTAATTTCTTGCGGACAAATAGTGATGAAATTGTTTTTGATGAGAGTGAAGCCACCGAAGAAGGGGTGGGGGGGACACATGAACAGACTTCTTGAAAGTCTTCCCAGAAATGGAGTCGAAAAAACAAACAAATTTGTCCTAACGTACCATAGCGCTCTCCTCCAATATATTCCTGTGTTGCTGCGTGGCGTTTAATTGTTATTGATGCTGCTGCTGCTGTTCATTTAGCAATGGTAACGTAGGGTTATTTTTAGTGCTCGACAGCTGGACTCAGCTGAGGAATGCAAAACATTCGAAGAGGGAAGGTTTAACTCGTTCCAGCAAACTTGGTGGCTCCCGCAGAATTGTAGAAATATAATTTTAAAATAAACAGATTGATTTTCTTGGGCGAACACGTACAGACACCATACACATGTACTTGAAAGGGAGTTCCATTTAAATCAACGAGGCTGACTTCTACGTAAATGTGTTTAGGAGTGAGGAAAAACGATCTTGGAAATTTGATACTTTCCTCTTAAGCCTTTAAGTACGTGTTGCAGTAATTCAAAACCAATCTCCACCACTTTTTAACTGTTGCTCTGCTGTCACCCAAAATGTTATATTCATTTCTTCTTCTAAAAAATCTACCCCTCTGTGAAAAAGGACCCTATATAATTCACAGTGCGTTGGCACACATAGAGATCAAGTACTCTTGATCTAAAGCGTTTGTGGTTGAACAAGGACCTTGAGGTTAATTTCTTGAAGGGCCCCATGGAAAGCGATTAGGCTGTCTCCCAAGAAGTATTTTCTAATTACTTAGAAGACCTGGCTTTGCCAGTACCCCATAATTAAACGTGTCCAAGGTGTTGCACTTCAAATATTTCGCTGCAGGGCGGACCCCAAGTTACTGACTTGAGCTTAAAATATCTCGAAGTAAACATTAGCTGTCCAAAGCATCAGGTAACGCTTCTTGTCACTTACTGCTGAACACAGTTTAACATTTCTATTTGTTAAAATTATCTTGATTCAGTAAATACTCAGCTAAAGGCTGAAGAATTCCTTAGCTAAAGTCTAGTGTAGATGATAAACAAAGGCTGGACGCAAAACAATTATTGAATCTGACGCTCCTCTGGCTTAAGTCCCAGTTTTATTCTCCCCACTACCACTGTAGGGAATCGAGGGAGGGAGAAGGGGGGGGTAGGGGTGATGGAAACTCCTGGGGATAAATAGTTGACCAGATATCTAAACATTCCATCGATCTTATTATAAGAAATTCTTTCAAAAAGTGTATTTTCAAATGAAACTCTAACTTGAAAATATGTGCATACTCATACTAATATAATATCGTATATACATATGTTTAAGGCTATGTATTTACTACTGCAAATGGATATAAGGAGACCAGAAACTTTTTTCAGACATTCCTGCTATTCCAGTCTATTCTATCAATAGGTGAAAGTCATAGTGAAGCTAATTCTTATTTGAAGATTTTAAAAATTGGCTTCCCTTGCTCTATGCCTGGATTATATTAGTACTCTGAATTTATTTAATACCCCCCCCCCATGTACAACCCAATTACACCAGAATAACTAGATTTAAAATAATTTACTATCTACCCTAATGATATCCTTCGGAAATAAATTCCACTGGTTTAGGTAATGGTAAATATATTTTGGACTGGAAACTAACCCAAATATGCAGGAATAACTGGGCTGGGATTGACAGTCTTCAAATGCATCTTGTTTTATTAGTGATCTTCTCATAGGCATCCAAATGATCAGGAATCTATAGCCAATTCTGTCTGGTTGGTTTCATTTTTTTTTTTACTTCCCTTATTTCGTGTTTGTTGCATAGGATTAGGAGACTCAGATGCTCTGCATTTCAGACACATGCCCATACCCATCCACACACATAAACCAAAATATATCTCTACTCCATGCTTGGCATATAGATTGCTCTGGAGTTCTGAGGGAAACGCTAGACTGTCATGCCACAGAAGGGCTAAAGGATCCTTGTATCATGACTTCCTTAACCTCGCCTCCAACAGCTTATACTGGTTGATGTGGTGAAAGTTAAAAGCAATGAAAGCAGTTAGATAGGCCAGACTCTCACTGAGCTTGTCTATCACATTGTCGGAAGAGATGCCCTGATCCTTCTGAAAGCTAAATCATGG